TGGTGCTGGGGGACCGGGGCGTCTGAGACAGTGGTGCTGGGGGACCGGGGCGTCAGAGAGACACTGGTGCTGGGGGCCCGGGGCGTCAGAGAGACACTGGTGCTAGGGGACCGGGGCGTCTGAGACAGTGGTGCTGGGGCATCAACGGTGCTGAGTGTGACCTGAGGTGCAAAGGAGGTGGCCCTCCTGTGCCCGGGCAGCGCGGGGGCCTCCGGCAGGCTGCACTCTGCACAGGACGAGCGGGGTCTTTCTCCTCTCAGGACATCCAGAGGACCGGAGCCTCAGGCCGCAGCAGACTTCTCTCAGAATCATGCACAGCAGAACCAGCAGGTAAGCCTACCCTCCCAATCCCGGCCCACCCCCCGGCCCCAGGGGCCCTCCTCACCCCTCGCGGACACAGCATGTCCCCAAAGATGTTCCTGATGCAGGTGACCAGGTACTCATGCAGGCCGTCCGTCATGCCCTCGAAGTCTCTGCAGGCCAGGATGACCACCTCCCGGGGGTGGCTCTCCAGCCACTCAGAGATCTCCGTGAGCGTGTCCTGCGCAGGGGACAGAGCAGCTGTTTCACACCTTACCGAGAGAGGCCGGGGCGCCGGAGGACGCTCCCGCGGGTCCCAGGGTCTGCTCCAGACAGAGCTCACTGGACGAGGGGGCTGGGTCCCGCACGAACGCAGACATGCGGCAGACAGCCGGGCCACCGCCCCATTGCTCTGGGGCAGAAGCATACGCGTGGGTGTGCTTGTGCACGCGTGTGCATGTGTGACTGCGCGTCCGTGTGCTCACTCGGAGGGCACCGAGGTGTGTCGTCTGCAAGTGCCAGGGGCCCGCCTAGGCCAGCCGGTGGCCCGTGGAACGTGGTCCCGCGACGGTGTCTTCTAACTGCACCGACACTGGAGGACTTGCCGCGGGGCATGGGCTGCCCCAAGCAGGGGTGACGCCCGATGGTGAGACGTCCTACTTACATGTGGTCGCGGCCGGAGATGGAAGACACCACGAACCAAAGGTGGGCAGACACGGGGCCCCACTTGGGCAAAGTCCCAGACGCACTAGAGGACCCAGAAGCCTGGGCGCAAGCTCAGAAAGGCGCCGGGCCACGAGTTCCAGAGGCCGGCTTTCTCCCGCGCGCTGGGGTCACGGGTGTGCCCCGCGGCAGAAGCTGTCCCCGCCGAGCCCGCATACCTCCATCAGCGCCCTCATGTACGCCCCACCAAGCCCCCGTACGTCTACCAGTGCCCTCCTGTACACCCCACGCGCCCCCGCACCTCCACCAGCGCCGTCGCACACGCCCCGTGCGCCCCCGCACCTCCACCAGCGCCGTCGTGTACACCATGTGCACAAAGTGCAGGTTCTTCTCAGAGCCGTCATGCATGTGTGCGATCCGCAGGTCCAGGTACCGCACACCCGCATCTAGCTGCTCCGTGACACCCAGCACCTGCGGACAAACAGCTGTGGTCACCGCCAGGGACTGCGTGGTCCCCGCCTCGGCCCACGGCCTGCGTCACGGGCTCAGAGTAGCATTGGAGCAGCCCGGCCCTGAGCCACGCGGTAGGATATCCGGTCAGTAGGTGTTGGTGCCTGCCGGGGCTGGGGAAGCCACGGGGGCCCTGCCTTCAGGAACATGCTTTCCTGGAGACACTGGCCACGGACAGCCACGGAGCGAGGCTGGCTTCCAGACATCCCACAGGGTCCTGCTTTCCTCCCTTCCCATGCTGTCGACGGGACGGAAGCCTCTCTGGGCCTCAGTAGCACTGGGCTGGTTCCGTGAGCCCCACCTGGACGCTCAGAGTGGGGTGCGGGTCAGGATGCACCGTGGCATCCGCTACAGTGGAATCCACTACAGTGGCCACGGTCCCGCATCCCACCGACAGCACCAGGAAAGGCAAGAAGGAATCCACAGACGGTCAAGGGAAGAAAAGGCTGTCCCCTTCCTGGCAATGTCATATGGGAAAAGGCACGGATTTCCGCGGAAATAACATTTACGCCCTGGGTGGCCTTGCGGGGAAATTGCATTCCTCCTGCTAGTCCCCCCGGCTGACAGATCGGGAAACTGAGGTTGGGGAGACCACACAGAGGCCTGAGTGCACGCTGGACCCAGCCAGGTGGGGCCCCACGCCGCAGCCCCAGGCCACCTCCATGTGCAAGCACCCTGGAGGGACCTGGGTGCTTGGGGTGGGGCCTTGCGCAGAGACCCCGAGTTCTCAAGAGGCCCACAGTCTGGGCAGGGGAATTCAGCCGTGCCTGTGACTCCCAGGGGACGGGCAAGTCCTCCCTCGGTGACCCCCGGGTCTCCCAGACTCTGTGCCCAGGCTTGTGATCCCACTGCCGTCTCAGCGGATGTGCTGGCTGCAGGGAACTGAGGAATCAGACCGTTGTCTCCCCAAAATATCCCTTCAGGCACTTGAGCTGTATTTTTAGACAGTAACTAGGGGCTCCTTGTCGTAATGTTGGGAAAACAGCAAACTCTGGAGAGGACAGCAACGTGTTCCCCCAACGTGTCGCGGGACACAACCGGCCAGCCACGGGGCAGAGAGGCCCCAGAGGAGCACCGAGCAGCCCTCCTCCCTGTTTGCCCCTCCATGTCTGTGCCCCAGAAGCTAAATCATGCCCCTTCCCCTGTCCTGTCTCCCCGAGGATGCTCAGCTCTATGGTCATGGGACATTCTGTGCCAAAGCGCCCACTGTGTGCACACTTCCCAGCATGGGGACACACCATGTCAGGGTCTACTGACCCCCCCCATGTCTGCTGCCAGTGTGCAAGTGTGGCTGGTTAGGTCCTGCGTGGGACTGCCTGACGGATCCTGCCCTTTCAACAGCATCTGCCCCGCAGCACACCATAGACGTCCTCATAGCCCACCACATAGTTGTTCCCCAGCACCGAGGGACCCCCAGGACCGAGGAACTCCGGCACCAAGGGATCCCGGCACCGAGGGACCCTGGCACTATGGCCCCCAGCACCAAGGGACCTGGGCACC